CCCCCCCGCCCGCAGCGTTCCCTCTAGGATGAACCACGTGAGAGACTCTCACGTGTCCCGTCCGTTTCTGTACACAACCAAACACCAAATGCACCCCACTTAATGACATATCTAACGATACGGCGTACGCATCTTATGCTTATGCATACAGAACTCTCTACGTAACTCTTTACGTCGACTAAGTAACGAAATGCAATGCGTGTGTGGGGTGTCTGTCTGTCGCAAAAGAACTAAGTCGGGCTTGAGAAAGCTGCAGGTCGAAAATGGGCCTTCTGACTGGAATGACAGACTGGCCTGATTGTTCTCTCTCCTCTTCCTTGGCTACTCTCACCATCCGTCCGCTTCTGTGCCCATCAAATCAAAAGGCCACCAGCCGTGTGCTGTGCCACATAACCAACAAACATAACCAACATAACCGCGCACACAAACACATCACAAACACACCCTCGTCGTCGTTTGGTAAAAACGGGTAGTACTTACGCATAATAAAAAGCGGGAAGGAAAATTCCGCAGCTGCAGCTCAGCGGTCACTGATTCGATATGCCATCGATCTTCGTTCGTATGCAATGCATCGACAGACTACATAGCTGCTGCCCTCCCTGCCCACCCACATACACATACATGCTTGAACACATAGATGTGTACACAACGATACGCAATCCATACAGAGGCGAGTGAATCACGGCACGTGCGATAAACGCCCCTGAGAAATCTGCCTGTACAGCCATCCATCCATCCATCCATCCCATCTACTCGTCGCGCCAGCACAACGGGGGGGACGACGGAGAGAGAGAAGCGATGAAGCACCGCACCCGACAGACAGACAAACCAGACAGACCCCCAGGGCGCACATAACATCTTTCATGAACACGAAATGTCAGCTCAGATCAGTCGGTCGGTCAGTCAGTCAGTCAGCAGGAGAGAAATGACGGAAGGCAAGGACAGAGCAAAACGGCAGGCAGGCAGGCAGGCGCCAAAAGCAAAGCTAGGGGGGAGGGGCAGGGGGAGGGGGAGAAGCAAAAGCAAAAGGGGGTCTCACTCACTAACCGCCCGGCCGACCAGCCGGCCATTTAGTGGTGGCTGCCCGACGAGTGGCCTGACGAGTGTCCCGACGAGTGGCCCGACGAGTATGTGGAGGTCTTCTTGCTGGGAGGCGTTGGGGTCTTGGTGGGCTCGGTGTAGTTCTTCTTGCCGGGCGGCGGGGTGGGCGTGTCGTAGCCCTTCTTGCCCGACGGTGGCGCGTAGGTCTTGCTGGGCGGCGGTTTGGTAGTCGTTGTGGGGGCCTGTGTGGACGTGGTAGTTGGTGTGGTTGTTGGTGTGGGTGTGGTGGTACTGGGCGCGTATGTCTTGCTGGGCGGCGGGGTGTAGCCCTTCTTGGGAGGGGGGGTGCCGTAGTCCTTCTTGTTTGGTGGCGCGGTGGGCGTGTCGTAGCCCTTCTTGCCGCCCGACGGTGGTGGTGCCGTAGCGGTGTCGTTCTTGGGCTGGTACTCTGTGCGGTACGTGGTCGTGGATGGCTTCTCCTCGATGTACAGGCACGTGTTGCCCTGCAGCTCGCCCTTCTGAATCATCAACGCAACGCATCACACGAATCACACGAGAAATGATGCGCTGATGCGTATTGAGCTCACAGCCCACCTTCGGGCAGCTGTAGGTCGGCGACTCCTGCAGACACACACACACAGACAGGACGAGAGAGAGAAAACACAAATGTGCTGTGACTGATATATCAGACTGTGTGCGTGTGCGTGAGTCTCCCTTACATTGTAGGGCTTGACGCACTGGGTGCTCTTCCCGTGCGACCGCATGCGCTTCCTGCCGCCCTTTGACCCCCTCACCGCCGACCTCGTGTAGCCCTGCAAACACAAACCACGCATCCCTGTGTGTCCGTCAGTCAGTCATCACCTGCCTGCTTTGTTTGCTTACGTCTGGGCACACCATCTCCATGGGCACCATGTTCTCCTTAGTGCAGGCGCCGTCTCTCATGACGTACCTGACACACAACACAAAAGCACACCACACACACACACACAGATGCCCTGCCGTCCCCGTCCCCCTCTCGCCCGTCCCGACCACCCCCTGACCCACCCGATGTCGCATTTGGTTGTCTTGGCGGTCTCCTTGACTGACACGCACTGCCCATCTGCCCCTGGCTCACCGTCGCCGGCGCACTTCTCGTCGTACGGGAGCGGCGTGACCTTGTAGCACTGGCTACCGCTGGGCGTGTAGTCATCCGGGCACGTGCACACCTTCTCAGCGTAGTCGACCTTCTTGCACACGCCCTCCACCGCGCTGTAGCCATCAGGGCACTCAATGAGCCTGTCCCGCTCCTCGCGTGTGATGGTGTCGCGCGCCTGGCACTCGCCCTCGGCGGTGGGGCCCGTCATTCCCGGCTCGCACTCCAGGGTGGCGTCGCTGAAGGTTTCGTTGAGACAAGCGCCATCAACCAGCTGGGTGCCGCCCGGGCACACAGCCTCCTGTGGGAACACACCACACCACACAACACGGACCAGACGCAAGTGTTGGGGTGGGGTGTGTGTGTGGGTTGTGTTGTTTACCGGTCGGCCGAGGACTGAGCGTCTGACGCACTCGCCGTCCACCTCAATCGTACCATCGGGGCACCGCTGCTGCATCTGAATGAGAGAGGACATGGATGGAAGGAACGAATCAGTGCGAGCACAGTGGATGTGTGGGTGGGTGCTATGCTGCCTGGCTGGCTGGTTGGTAACTACTTACCGGTGTGGTTTCTCTCTTGGTGCACTTCATAGCCGCACCTTCGCCCACCTCAATGAAGCCAGCAGGGCACTGCCAAACACCCAACAGACAGACACACGAGCGTCGCCCGTGGCCATCGGATCGAGCCATGTCTGTCTGTCTGTCTGTCAGTCAGACAGTGAGTCACCTTGTACTGAGCTTCCTGAGAGGGGGGCTGGCAGTACTTGCCGCCCTTCTTGCCGGCGTCGATGGGCTCGGAGCCGTCCTCGCAGGTGTAGGTGGGAGGCACATACTCTTTCTTACTGCACGTCTCGTTCCCTTTGGCACCCTCCTGCACACACACATCCAATCCATGGCACATAGACAACATAAACCACGCCCTCTTGAGCCAGCTCAGCTGTGGAGACACCTTGTAGTATCCGGCCGGACAGGAGTAGTACCCAGCCTTGTAGTCGCAGGAAGGTGCGGCGGTTTTCTTGGCCCCTGAGGAGCCAGAGTGGCACTTCTCGCACATGTCGGTCTGGTTGGACGGGGTGTAGCCCTTGGGGCACTGGAAGACCTTCTCGCCAGGCGTCACCACCAGGCAGCCGTGCTTGCCGTGGGTGGGCGGCGAACCGTCGGCGCAGACTGCCTGTGCAGGCTTCCTCTGATGATTCATACAGACAAGACACACAGGAAGTGACGCAACAATTCTTCTGAGACTGACGTGCCAGATAGTGGTGTGGGTTGCTGTGGCCGACCTGCTGGCTGACGCACTTGTCGTCCTTCAGGACGAGTGGGGGCGTGCAGACGGGTGCGGCTGGCCGCTCGATCTCCCTGACAGCTTCGGTGCCCGCGGGCCTGAAGCCTGTCGGTGCGAACAACTCGGGCTGCGCCAATGTTCGGTTGACGCACTCTTCGCCCTCCTGCATTGCATTCACACAGACATAGCACACACAAGCAGGTATGTGTCCACACAAACGCCGGCCGGATGGGATGAGCATGTCATGTGGTTCCCACCCACCACACCTACTGGCCCGGCCCACTCACCAGGACAGCTCCTTCAGGACAGACCTCTCTGACGGGCTGCATCTCCTTCCTGACGCACGAGCCGGCCTGGGTGGGCCCGACAAGGGGCGCGGCGCACACAGGCTCTGCACACACACACAAAGTCACTCAATCATTCATTCATACCTTTATTCGTTCAGCACTCAGACGTGAGTGTGTCTTGTGTGTGTGTGCGTTTGTGAGTGTGTGCGCTGGTCGTTACTTACCTGCGGGCTTGACTCTCTCTCTAATACAGCCGTCTGCAGTCTCCTGGTAGTCTGCCAGCAGGCGACACACATCCATCCATCCATCCATCCGAACAACAATGAATAGGACCGTGTGTGCTGCTGACATACCGGGGGGGCAGGTCTGTGTCGGCTCGGCCACGTCCTCCTTGACGCACTTGCCGCTGCCCTTCTTGCCGCCAGTGGTAGTCTCGTTGTAGCCTGGCGGGCACTCACACCTGATCGTCGATCGATCGACCAACGAACGAGAGAGACCATACCATATAACCATTCTGCATGTGTCAGTGTGTGAGTGAGTGGACGGGCTCACTCGATGGGCACGTAGTCTGTCTTAGAGCATTCGGTGGCGTTGCCGTATTTCTTGCCCTTGTGGGGTGAGCTGCCTGGAGGGCAGCTCTTCGTGGGAGGGTACACATGAGTGTAGATGCACTTGTCGCCGGCCTCTTCATAGCCCTACACAAACAGAGCAGAGCAGAGCAGGTGGCTGCGCTGCGCCCGGGTCAGTCAGTCCAATCAGTCCAGTCACGTCACCTTGGGGCAATAGGACTTTGGTGCCACAGCCGTTGAGTTCTTGCAATAGCCCTTCACTACGTCATAGCCATCGGGGCACGACGGCACTGGGGGCTTGACGTCCATGTGGACGCATGTGCCGGACTGGAAGCTCGAACCCTTGGGGCACGTGGGCTGAACGAACGAGGCAGGGAGGGAGGAAGGGAGGGACCACACACATGCAAGCAAACATATATAAGAGAGATCTCATGGTCTGTCTCGAACGAAGTTACCTTTGCGGGGGTCGTGCTGTTCTTGTAGCACGTGCCGTCAATGGGTCCTTCATAGCCTGCATATTCCAACCAGCCACACCACATGCGATTGGTCCACCACTCCACCATATTCCAACCGATGATGGACAGCCCCTCCCCTCCCTCCCTGCCTGACCTTTCGGGCACGTCTCGACAGGGATCTGGACGGCCTCCTTTTTGGGCGGAGTGTAGCCCTTCTTGCTCGAGGGAGGGGGGGCAGAATAGCCCTTCTTGCTGGGCTCCGAGTAATGCGGTGCGGCGGACGCAATCGCCACCATGGCGACGAAGAAAGAGGCAATCACGCGCTGCATGACTGCTGATGACAGCTGTGGCTGATTGATGAGATGAAAGGCGGCAGGCGGCCGGGAGTGGGTGAGTGAGTGAGACTCAAAAAGGAATGCTCGATACGTCGATGCGATGGAAAAGGTCCCTGCCTTCACGGAGCGACGGTGGCTCGAGCGCAGCGCCCTGCTGACTGACTGACAGACGAGCTGACAAAATGCGATGGTATGAAGAGGACGAAAAAGGGAAAGGGCTGGGCAAGCGGTGGATCTTCGGCCAGCCAGTACAGTGTGCTCAGGCGAGAGCCGTACCTTCTCAGACCTGTAGGGTTTCGGCGAGTTTCGGCTCGCAAGCCATCGCGATCCCGAGCTCGCAGTGGAAAAGCGCGAGAAAGCCGCACTTCAACGACCGCAGGACGACGTCAACACAGTGGTGTGCTCTCACGAACGCGAATGCAAGGCGACTGACGCATTCTGTACTGTTTTCACCTATGTTGCCTTTTCCGCAGGATGACGTGCAGCGCAGCTGCCACCCTGCGCGCGCTCAGGCTGCGGCTGTCGGCGGGCCTCGAGCGCAGTGGACTGGCAGACGTGATCCGCTTCGCTGATGACCTCGGCGGCCCATACGTAGCCCAGGCCATCTGGCTGGTGGAGAAGCAGCGTTGGGACGAGGTGGCCGATGCGCTGCGGCTGGCGGGGCAGCTTGGCTTCTGTCACCTGCCCCTGACTCTCAGACTGCAAGACCTGCAAGAATACACCAGCAAAGAGGTAAGCTGAGCACAAAACACAAACCGAGGGTGACGGGGCAAAAGGGGCCTGTGTGTCAGTCAGGCGTATTTGGCTGATGCGCGCGTCGTGGCTCAGTGGACCATTGTCGGTAGACACGTCTGGGGTGCAGGGTCCTTTGGGCTGTTCAGGCAAGGTGGTCTTGTCCGTATATTCAAGAACCTGCCCGGCTATGAGCTGACCCTCAGCCCTCCTCTCCCACCCTCCCACCCCTATCAGCAGCACATCGACCGAGATGACCCTCCCGTCGCGCACCAACTCTGCTTCAACGGCGTCGAGTGGGCGCCTGACACCAAGAATGACCTCTTCACTGAACCGTCTGTGTCGTCATTCATCATGGGCACCCTGCTGCAGACGGCAACGCACCGCATGACAGATGCGGGCGGCATTGTGGGGCGCCTCTTCAGAAGGTCAGAGGAGGAAGCAAGGGAGAGGACACTCACAGGCAGTCAACATGTTGGTTGTCCGTGCAGGAAGGCCGGGAAGCAGAGCCACAAGGTGGATGCTCTCCTCTCCCTGCTGGCCCATCCGCACCACGGCATCCCGTGGCTGGCGGGATGCACAGCCATCTGTGCGAGCCAGTGGCGCCAGGCGGCCTCCTGCGAGCTGCTCCTGACGCCATTCAACAGCCCCTTCGTCGCTTGGATCCGCATCTATCGGCTGGACTGTGACGCATGTACAAGCTGAGTGGGTTGACGGGAAACGGGTTAAGTAATCATCAGTCGCGTCTTACCCTGTGGTGGTCTGGTGTTCCACTTGTCAGTGTTTGTGCACGTGATGACGACTGAGGCGCCGGCGGTCGACTACGGCATCTTCAAGGAGTGCTTCCCACAGGCGACATCAATGGCACGCCCTGTGCTCAGTAGAGCCGCCCCTCTGCTGTTTGATAAAGTCCATCCGAAGGCTGGAAGTGTGCGCGGTGTGACGCATGGGATGGATGGGCGGGATGGATGGAGCGCACAGAGCACTTGTGTGTGTCTCTGTGTGCTCTGTGTGCTCTGTGCGTAGATGCGGGCGCCTGTTCTGCCTTTCCCGAGATCCACTTCTTCTACGAGTATTAAGCGTGTTTTAAGCGTGTTCTTGTATTTGTCCGCGTCTGCATGTCCATGCAATGCCATGCGGAACAATTTTCGTGTCCATACACTTGTGTGGAGCATTCACCAAAGGATGATCATCTGACGCGCAAGAGCTCGCAATGGGTGCGTGAATTGATGCTAACCCTGCCAAACACGCGGGAAGAAGAGCGCGGAAAGAACTGAGACGAGACGCCAAGCTGGCCAACGCCCCCGGGCTGGCCTTTTCCGCGCCCACAGGTTTTGGCGCCCACAGGTTTTGGCTTGGCGTCGCGGCGAGCCACCGATTAAGCTCTCTCTGTCATCGCGAGGGCTTTCGTTCAAATCAGTACAAAGTTCTTGCTCAGCTGTCCCCCGTCGATATCTGTCTGACCCCATCTATCTGACCCCCCCCCCCCCCCCCCCCC